TGGTGAATAACTCAAATAACCAAAATAATGGGAAAAAGAAAGTTTCTTCACCACAGCAGCGAAGACTGATCAGGCAAACATTTCTGCCAATTTTAACCTCAGTGGCTCCTAGAATATTAGTGTTCTGGAAATACTGATTTGAGTGAAATCAAATACACTTTTGCAATCATCTTATTTATTTATTTTGAATCTCAGTTCTTGTCAGACTGGTAGCATATGTTTTGAGGCTAATGTAAGCTTCCTACTTTTGTCTCCAGAGAGAACAGAAGTTGGTATATGACCAAACTATATTGTATGAAAATATTTTAAGATATAAGAAAAAATAATTATGACTTGTGCAAAACTGTATTTTTCAGGCTATAATATACTTCACAGAGTACTCTCAGATTTTCTGATGTACAATAAATTGTGATATGAAACCTGTAACAAAAAAAAAAGTACCCCACATGAAAGCTGGCAGAGCTTTGCACTGAGGCAGAGAGAACTCTAGAACAACACTTGCTGGTGCAGCCCATGTGGTTTGTATTTCCTGCCAGGAAACACTAAGGCTAGATTAACAGACCAAAGGAGATAATACTATTTCCCTTAAAACACATGACATTATGCAAATATCACAGTAATGAATCAAAGAAAACTGAGGAGTGGGAGCCAGTGGAAGGCAGGAACAACTAACTATAGGCCTGCTGGCCTTCCACTCTACATCCGCAGCTCTTTTTGTTAAGAAATAACTTAGGAGTAACCAGTCAACCCATGGTTCATACCACCTTCAGTGGAAATGACAGGACCTGATTGATTCATAACTGATAGTTCAAAGATGGTCACTTCAATCATATTGTTGTTAAAAATCATTTTCGGGGCCACAAGGAAAGTGTCTCAACAAGGCAGAACTTTACTCTTGATCAAGAGGGCCTGCTCCAAAGGACAGGTACTCAGAGACAGGAAGTACACTTTGCTTTTAGTCTAACACAGGTACTGTCTTGTCACTGGTTGGGTCAGACCACACTGTCTTTTGAGATTGTTTAGTCTGTAGGGCTGGAGAGATGGCTCATCCATTAAAGGAAAAGCTCACAACAAAACTATAAGAGATTGGTTAGTATTAAAAGAATCAGCACAAAAGAAATAAAGGAGGAAGTTGAGGGAAGGACTGGTCAATACTTCTGATCATCATTGAGGCCTTTGTGTAAACTAAAGTTTTAGAGGGGTGGGGTCATTCATCTTAAAACATTTGCATAAAGTCTCACAAGGTGGGATATAAGAAGATTTTAGTTCCTTGTCATAAACACAAGTATTAAAGTATCTGATAGAGAAGATTCCGATTTAAAGCTTCTTACAGGAAACTCTGGATTCTCCATTGAGGCCAGACGTTTCAAAACCTCTAATTCTCAAATGTTCCACTGTAGACATTGTTATGCTCATACTGACAAATGTGACCTAATTTATATTCATGTTCCTTCCACTGCTACACACGTTTCCCTGGACTTTATATGAACTAGACACTCAGCAATAATTCCAGGGCATGATATGCTCCTCCTCAGAGGTAACAGATATCCCACTTTTAAGGCACTGCAGGGACTTAAATCTAGATAGAGCAGTGTTTCTCACCTGTGCATCGAGATCTCTTTGTAGTCAAATAACCCTTTCCTAAGACCATCAGAAAACACATATTTACATCACAATTCATAACAGTAGCAAAATTACAGTTATAAAGTAGCAAGGAAAATAGTATTATAGTTAGGGGTCGCCATAACATGGGAACTGTACTAAATGGTTGAAGCATTAGAAAGGTTGAGTTAGAGTCTAGAAGCAGGGAGATACAATCGGCCCTGAGAATCCACACAGTACTGGAGACCTCAGGGAAGCTATTAGCTTTGGAATGGAAAAAAAGAAAAAAAGAAAGAAAAAGAGGACAAGACTATTCCTAAAAAGTTGAGGTGTTTATTGTAGATATAAGGGAGAGCAAAAGAAGAGACATCTGGAATGGTCCAGACTGGATGTGTCTGGCAGACTAGACTGGACCATGTGAGGAGAGATGGGAAAGGAGAAGAGAGAACTAGAAGTCAGGAACCCAAGACGGCTGTGTCATCTAGGAAAAAAATCTGGGAGTAAGGATGTTCAGTCTAGTCCCTCTGCTGGAGAGTTCAAGGTAATGGATAGGGTATGCCAGGTACTGATACTGAGAGACTGGCAGACAGTGTCTGCTTTGGTATGTTAATAGGCACCTCAGTTAGCCATTTGTCCCAGGGTTGAGACCTAACAGCTTTGCCAAGTAATAATGTTGGTCTCACAAGGTAATCCCAAGGTGGGAAGTGACTGATAGGGAAGATACTGTCCAAACTTTATCAGTTTCTCCCTAGAGCCTATCCAAATGTACAAGATACTATCACCTCCCAAACAGTAAGCATACTTTGACAGTGGGCTTCAAGTCTGGCATTTTCATGTGTTATAGGTCACTCACTAACAGGATGAGATCCTGTGTTAGAGTTTTAGCAGCTTCAGTCCCACAGCTAGAGCAGATAAGGCCCTCTGTCAGAGTTCACTCACTCAGAAAACTTGCATAGCACTGAGCTGGGGATTTCATTCCTGGGCATGTTCCTTACAACACTGTGTCTAGAACTGTAGGAGTAACAGACCATGTGACCACATTCTTTCATTTTAAAAAGCTCAAAAACATTATGTCAAAATTTTCTAGTAGCTTTCTGAATAGCAAGTTGTTTGAGAATAGCCAGCACATATTCTGCATGGATGTTTAGACAGCTAGTGCCATAGACCACTGGTACTCCAGCTGGCTGGAAATACCACTAAAAGTCAAGGAAGGCATTTGACAGGGTTGGAGTGTCTAGGGTGGAAATGCAAAGATCTCTGTTGGAGATTGGTTCTATGCTTTGATTCAATCAGTAATCTCTGTGTCCAAACACTAAAGGTCCTTGTCCCCAGTTGGTTTTTGATCAATCAATAAGGATGTCAACGGCCAATGGTTGGGCACAGGGCAGGGCACTTAGAGTTTCAAGGGCTGGGTAGCAGGGGAAAGAGAGAGAAATCACCATGACTAGAGGAAGAAGAATGGGATACAGGAGCTGCAGAAGAGAAAGCCAACCAGCTATGTGAGAATTCAGGTGGGTAGTCATTGGCCACATCCCCTTTTGGGCCTTGGGTAGCAGGAAAAGGTTTAGGAGTACCCAACCTTTGAGGTAGCCAAGGCATTTTAAAAGTAACTGTGGTGTGTGTGTGTGTGTGTGTGTGTGTGTGTGTGTGTGTTTCCATTCTTGAATCCAAATAGCTCCTGGGCAAGTGTGTACATGTGACTCACAGGGGAGCCAAAGTGGTGTAGATGGAAACTTTCATAACAGATCTCTTTGTTCCTTTATGCCATGCCTGTTATCTGGTACATTCTCTTGAAAGCAGACACTCCAGCATCCCAACCAGGAAGTAGGCTCTCCTCTGATACAACCAAATATTTTGGTCATATGCCTGAACTAGAACCAATTTTCTGAAGGGATGTACCAGACCTACTTTCTCTACCTGAGAATTAAGTTTTACACACATGCATGCACACAAACATCCACTCATCCATGCATCCATGCATGCACACAAACGCATATGAATCCATGCACCCACACAAACACATATGAATACATATATACAATCTCCAGGCATCCAAGCAAAAAGGGGACATGCAAAGACAACAGTTGTTTGTATCTTCCCCAAACCCTAAATGTGATATGATATATCATACAATGGAACATTACTAAGTCATGAAAAGTAAAGTACTGGTGCATAGTATACCACCAGTAAACTGTCAATTCATTACACTAAATGAAGAATCCAAAGTAGACAAATCTAGAAACAAGCAAAAAGTATACTAATGGTTGCCAGCATGGCCAGAGAGAGAGAGGTTTTAAGTGTGAGATTTCTCTGGGAGTGATAAAAATGCTCTAGAATCAATGTGAATGTACTAGGAGTTACTAGCATGTGTTTAAAATGGTGAGATTATAGTCTGTAACTAAAATTTATATAATTTTTTTTCAAAATAGCAAATGTGATCTTCTATGGAAGAGGCATCCAAGGAGTTTGTTTGCCAACTGAGCCCATGGACATTCCAGCTTCATATGAAATGAATGTCTGTTAAATGGCAGGTCACCTGTAACTCCTGAAGGTTTGCCCTTTAGCCAGTATTCCATTGCTCACCAGTCCTCAAAGAATATGGAAACTTATAGCAGGACTAAGGGGAGAGAAGAAAACCTTTCTTCCGCAGGATTGAGGGTCTCATGCCGGAGTTGTGAGCCACTAAGAGGAAATAGGAGATGAGTCTGATATGTATTCTACTACAGTTATCAGTGTATCTAAGGGTTCAACCAATTGCCATGGAAATCACTCTATCTGTACTAGTTGTATGTAAGCATTTTCCTGCCATTATTCCATAACTAATATGACAACTATTCAAATGACACTTGCATTATATTAGGTATCATAAGTATTCTGAAGCTGATTCAAATATACAGGAGAACGTGCATAGGTCATATACAAATCCTATGTCATTTTATATAAGACATTTGAGCAGTTTGCATATGGGAAGAATTCTAGAACCAATCCTCCTATAGGCATTGAGAAAACTTTGTATCCAACCTCCCATCCATTTAAGGAATGTCTTCTAGAACTTAGAAAGTAGTTAAAAACTCATTAGTTTTTCATTTGTGTGGACTCTAAAGTCCATTACAATAAACAAGTCTTGCTAAACTTGACTTTTGTCCCAGATGTCCTCAGAGTTTGGTGGCTAGCTCTGCCTTCTGCTGGCTGTGGAATCACTAGCAAATTCCTCAAGTCATTTGAAGTTCAGTCTCTGCCCAGCAAATAGAGGTAACAACAGCTTCTCTAAAGTTCCGAAGACTCAAAGAATAGCCAGTGTGAAACACAGAGCACGGTGTCTACAACATAGGTGGTGATCACAACAACACATCCTTTCTCTCACAAATACATCATAAAACAATCACAAAGAGGTGGGATACAGCCTTCTGACTTGCAAATGTTGGTATGTGTGTGATTGCTATAGCAATTACCAACTCCCAATATTTGAAAAATGCATGACTAAGCAAATGTCCCTCTTAACTCACATTTCAGCAACATGAATCCACAGTGGACAGTCCATGAAACACAGTGAGCAGAAAGTAGTAGTAGAAGACTTTCCATAAAACCCCCATGAACTAAACATCAGTGTGGCTATAAATCTGACTTCCTTTTGTTTTCTTCCTTTTCATTTTGAGACAGGATCCCTCACACAGCCTAGGCTGGCATTAAACTAGCTATGTAGCCAAGGATAAACTTGAATTTATGATCCTCCTTCTTGTACCTCCAAAATTTGGGGATTATGGAATAAGCTACCACACCCAGTTTATTTGGTGCAAGAGAACAAATTCGGGGCTTGGTGGATACGAGGTGAGTACTCCACTGACCGAGCGTGATTCCAGCCTATGCCTTGCTTTTAAAGAACTACATGTTCCAAATCTTTGCTTTGGGACACTGATGACAAGATGTTTTTTTAATGCAGGCAGATGGATAATCATAACACAGAAAGCATTAAAGCAGAGAGAACAATCAGGCTAGAGGCCAGAAAATAGCCTGGAGTACAGAAAGACAATTCTTATGAGACAAACTGGTTAGGGGCTGGGAGTGTGGAAGCAGATGCCCTGAGTTTGATTCACACTCAGCCAAGTGTGATCTTAAGCAGATACTTAACTTCCTCAGGCCTCACTTTCCAGCCTGAGCACATATTCATAATGTGGTGAGGATTAGAGTTAATAAATGAGAAATGTTCCAACCAAAGCTTAGATAACAAGTTCTAATAAATACTGACTGAAACTATATTTATAGTAATTATCATTAGTATTAATTCTTAAGATTTTTCAGCCCTGCTTAACCCTTCTCTTATTTAACAGTCCCTTAAACTATGGTGTGAAATGGGAGCTGAGGGAAAAAGTTATCAAAGAAACTCAAGCAATACAGGAAAGAATTACTGAAGACGCTTAATTCACAGAACAAGTATGAAACTCTCTTTTGTCTTGGTATAAAAAGGGGATTTTAAGGCTCCAGCGTCAGCTCTTTATTCCTCAAAGGAAGCAGTTACTGTAATGATGTGCTCTGAGCCAGGTGGCTAGTTAGCACCTTGCCTCACCACTGGACCCATGAAATCTATTATGTTCCCTTCGGAGGGCAGTTTAAGGAGAAATTGATACATTCGTACAGAACACATTGGCCATGCTGGAAAGATTTTTTTCCCACATCTACACAATGATGACAAAATTGGACACGATTGAAAGGTTTAGACAGCCCAGTTCCCAGCAAGAGAACCGAGCAACAGGTGTCATGATACCCTTAAAATGCCCAATGCATGGCCGGATTCACTTTCCTAGGTAGGGGGCCTTGAAGGTGTTTCTGGTCAGTCATTTAGGTGTTTTAATAGAAGAGTCCTATCTCAAAATCTTACATAGAACCTGAATACATCAGGAAAAATAATCTAGGCTACACTGTGTTTAAAAAAAAAAAAAAAAAGGATGGTGATTCTATCTACCTGTAGTGGCCCCAACATGATTCACAGAAACCTGCACACTCCATGAGGCCATGTGAGGTATGCAGATGCTCCCTCCATCCACAAGCTCAGGTATTAAGGCAGAGATCAGGAAACTCAGGACACTACCATAGAAGCTCCATGCGATTATTGCCTGTAAGACTGGTTACTCTCTACAGTAGTAGTTCTTAACCTTCCTCATGCTTCAGACCTTTAATACAGTTCCCCATATTGTGGTGACCCCAACCATAAAATTATTTTTGTTGCTACTTCATAACTATAATTTTGCTACTGTTATGAATAATAATGTAAATATCTGTGTTTTCCAATAGTCTTAGGCAACCCCTGTGAAAAGGTTGTTCGACTCCCAAAGGGTTGAGAACCAATGATCTAAAGGGACTTTTTATAAGTATTACCACTACATACCATGCTCTAAACTACACTAAACTAAATACTGCTAATATTTTATTTTGCTGGCCAGTAAATGGGGGTCTCTTGTGGAGTATCAGCCAAGCTCCAGGCACACGAATGAAACTGCATTCTCTTTCAACATTCCAGTTGTCCTTTAAGTAAGTTGGCAACTTCACATGGCCTTCCTTTTTCTCACGATTTCCTGGTAAAAAGGAGGGCTGCTCTGTGCCCTCTAAATGGTAAAGCAACACCTCTGTACTCTACCACAATGTGCATGTAACAATTCTCACACTGTACCAACTTATATTGCCAAATGTCTTTTGGTGAGCAAAGTAATCAATTGAGAAGCATGCTCTATACTGGCCCCTTTCTACAAAGGGTAGAGAAATCTAAGCTACACATCTATCAAGAGGTCTCCTAAGCTGAAGCACTCTACTCAGTCAGTCACAGATGATAAACATTTATAAGGAAGCATCTTCTGTGTGTAAGAACTTCTACAGACTTCCCAAGGATCCCATTATACTAGGTGTTAGTGATCAGACTCATATCAGCCCCTTGACCACATGTGTCCTTCTACTTTCTATCATGGATGTCAGGTTACGCATGTCACTGGTTTTCATATCACTGGGACATGGCCTTGGTCATCCCTTTCTTCAAGTTCGATTACTTAAGAATGCTCCCTCTTCTTCCTCGTCTTCCTCTCCATCTCCCTCTCACCTTCTCTCTCTTTTTGTTATCTGTGTCTGTCTGCCTGCAGGTCTGTGCACTGCATAGGTATATGTGTATGCTCATGAAGAACCTTTTATGAACTACTTAACAAAACTCCATTCATGTGCTATTTTAACAGCCAGCCTGTGTGTAGCTTTCTGTTGCTATGTTGCTTTGAACTCATGATAGCACAGAATAACATGGTAGGGGGCACCTCTTTGCTTCCTAGTTCAGAATGCTCCAATAACCTAGTTTCTTCCCAATAAGCCATACATCCCAAAGAACATCCCACTCTCAGAGCCATCACAGGCTGGAAACCAAGTCCTTGCTACACTGGCCTTCTGAGAACACTCCAGATTAAAAACTACAGCACAATTAATAAGCATGAAAGACTTGTCTTGTCAAGTCAGCTGCCACTGTGTGTGATTAGATACCCTGCTACAATTATAGATTTACTCATCTGCCTCTCTCAAAAGATTCAAATACCTTCTGTGGCACCATGTCTGTTAAATAATAAATTTAGTAGGCTAATATTTTCCTATACTTATTTGAATTCAAAATGTTGAGGGCTATAATGATAGCATTAAAAGCCACTAGAGAGATAATAGCAGAATCATAAGCCACAAAAAAATTGAACAGAGAAAACACTAAAGTGTATATATTATACTTAGTAATGACAGAAAAATGACAGTAGGTTGGATTAGAGAAATGAGCAATCAACTAACTTCAGCTCTTCTGGCTTTAGGATTGCTGGAAAAATATAACCAGGGTTGAAGCTCATTTTGAGCCATCTCTTCAAAACTTAGTACCAGCCAAAAGCTACATATTAGGCCAAGTCTCTCCTGGCTTCTCTAAATTTGTGTCCAGACAAATTGCAAACATCACACTGTCCAGTGGTCACTGTGAGTCTGCTTTGAACAGGCTGATTGATTTTTATATTGTTCCAGGCAATTTCAAGTTGTCAGTAAGAACTAATTTTGTCTCGTTAGTGCCTTCACTCTTGGCAGCTCCGTGACCACTTATTGGTTTTTTGTCTTCATGTTCATTTTCTTTTGCTAATTCTAAAGCTTTTCCCCGATCTCCAGCCACATTCAAGGGTCTGAAGCTATAATCAGAGATGCCCCACCTCTGGCACAATTACAGGTAAAAATATCAGCTCTTTTCATGGGCTCCAAACTTGAGCCCTTAAGTCCCATGCCCTGTGAAACCTTCCTCCTGACCAAACCCATTAGGTTCTGTAATGCTATATTACTTAATCAATCCAGCAACTCCATATCTGAAGTCCTCACTGGAGCTGATATTAAACCAACTTGTCAATCTGTAATTGCTGAGTGCTGCCCTCCACTCCTCATCTTGTGCAGCTAGAAAGCTAAAGCTGGCACTGACTTGACCATTCTAGATGTATCTCCATGCCACCCAAAGTAGAAAGATCATGAATCTTCCCTCAGAAGCCATGGGGCAGGTGAGCCTTAGTTATGTGAGATGCCAACTTGTACCTTATACTGTGGTGCGTATCCATAGTAGGACCTACATGCTCAAGATTAAATCTTCATCACTAAACAGACATAGCTAATTACCCCATTTGTACATCACACATACTTCTCAGACAGTAGACACTACTGAGGAATGCCTACTAAGTATAAAGACTAGTGCATACCTTGCCAAATTGTATAAATAAATGTTCTTTTTCCCCCTCACTATGTTTTAGGAGGGTGGAATGACAGGTCAGCTGAGTTACTGAAGTTATGTATGGGACCCATTCCCCATGTGATCACTAGAAGACAAGCATTACTCTTCAGATAGACCACCAAGATGGGTAAGATGTTTTTGCCCATGAGGAACTTGGAGTTCAATTGAGGTCTGTTGGACTCTGCTAATTTAAGGTTGAAATCTACCATTGTCTGGATAGCCTTCTGAACTCGGCACAAAATGGGGGACCTCCTTTACCAGCAGGGTTTCTCCTTCTCTGACCTTGTCTGGGGAGCCTGAAACCCCTATACCCTCTACCTGCAGAATGTCTTGTAACCTTGGTGAAATTACAGGTTCAATTCCCACTCCAACCCCATAAGAAAATTGTTTAGCAAGTACCTGAGATTCCTGGAACACTTCCCCATGCTAATGAGGCATCTCGGTACCTTAGCTTTCAGCCAATGACCTTAGTCTACTCTAGATATTCCTAAAACTATATAACCCTTGGTCCACCCCAAATAAAAGAATATGCACAGGCTAAGATTGTCTCAGATAGCTGGTTCATTGAAGATTGTCTGAAGACCTTCATCTAAAGAGTTGTAACACTGAGATCCTCAGAGAAGACCTTTTCTCCCCATCCTCTCATCCCTGCCACTCACTCCCAGCCAGACTGGGATCCTGCAGAACTCCATCCATTTTGGATTCCACTTCATCCTTCCAACCTGGTGTGTAGTGGTGTCTGGACACCCTGAGAAGAAAAACAAGGAAGATGAAAAACAGCTGGACAGGCCGGGCGGTGGTGGTGCACGCCTTTGATCCCAGTACTTGGGAGGCAGAGGCAGGCGGATTTCTGAGTTCAAAGCCAGCCTGGTCTATAGAGTGAGTTCCAGGACAGCCAGGACTACACAGAGAAACCCTGTCTTGAAAAACCAAAAAAAACCAAAACAAAAGAAAAACAAAAACAAAAAAACAGCTGGACTATAGAGATAGAGATTCTAAAATCTGAGACTGTGACATAGAAAAAAACTTTGTCTCAAAGAGTTCACAGCATAAACATCCACTGATATTCCTGCAGGTTGCTGTTGGGGTAAGTCTCACAGAGGAGACAGGATGAGCTGAGAAGAGAGGTGCACCCAGTGGAGAAGGAGCCTGCAGAGAAAACTGGAAGAAAGAAACCACTGAGAATGCAGGCCTGCAGCACCCTGGAAAGCAGCATCACACAACCAAAGGTGGGCCTGGAAGGGGGAGGGGGAAAGGCAGAAAAAGGAGTCTAGTTGTCATGTAGGCATCTGTGCTGGCTTTCTCATCTCAGGCAGGAAACAACTTAAAGGAGACGGATTCATTTAGGCTCATAGTATGAGAGAATACAGTCCATCAGGGCAGAAAATACACAGTTCTTGGCAACTCCATACTGGGCGAGTGTATTCGGCTTATTTATGTCTAACGAGGCAGAGAACCAAGATAGATCCAAAGCTGGACACATCCCCTGATCCCCAATAACTCACTTCCTGAAGCCAGGCCCCACTTCCTAAATGTCCTACAATCCATGCCACCAGCTGGGACCAAAGGTTCAAATACGTGAGTATATGAAGAAATATTCCCCACTCAAGGCATAGCTATGTCTCTTTAAGAACGTAATCAAGATGGCCAGAGCATTGCATCCAGCTTGACTCAACTCTGAACAAGTTCCTTCCCACTCTAGTTTCCTGACCTTGCCTTATACTTAAAAGATTTTCTCAATGAAACTTCTTTTCCTATCCCATTAGTATGCTTAGGACAGAGACACTGGCTCAAAAGTGTTCATTTCTGCTCTATTCATAATAGCCAAAAAATGAAAACAACCTAGATATCTGTCAGTGGATGGATTGATAAAGAACATGTGCTGTGTTTATACAGTAAAATATTATTCAGCCATTTAAGAAATGAAATTGTGAGATTCACAGGTTGCTAGATTCACTAGGAAAAAATATTGAGTGAAGTAACTCAGACTCAGAAGACAAATATGGTGTATACTCACTTATATGTGGGTATTTGTTAAGTTACTGACAAATAAGCCACAATCCTTATAACCACAGAGGCTAGGTAGAGAGAACTAAGGAGGGAGGGCTGGAACAGGAGGAACAGGAAGGAGAGGATGGGGTGGCATGAGGAAGAGAATAAGGAGGGACAGTTTAAATGAAAGGCCATTTGAAGGGTCATATGGAAACCTAATACAGTAGAAACTTCCTAACAACATATATACATATATGAAGGCCATCTACATGAACTCATGAACTCACCAAATAACAGAAGAGGCAGTCCCAGATGGACATCTCTCATCCTAGAACCTTCACTCCTATGTAACAGTGTTCATGGAACTAAGGTACTCTGCACAACACAAATGGAGAAAGGTCAACACCGACCCAGCTACAAACACTTCATTCTACAATGGTGACCTGCCCACAAGATACATTGGTGAAATAGTGGCACAAAGTTGTGGGAGTAACCAACCAATATCTGACTAAAGACCCACTATACAAAATGGAACCCATTTCTAATACTGCTTTTGTGTCCAAGAGCCTGATACTAGATAGGCCGGGACCTAGAGGGAAACCAAATACTACAGTTCCGCTAAAGGAATCCAGCAGTAAAATGACTCCTAACTGCTATACTCAACTATCAGTGGCTTGCTCAGCCATCATCAGAGAAGCTTTCTCCCACAGCAGATGGAGGAAAATACAGAAGTCCACAGCCAAATAATACGCATAGTTTGGAACACTCAGCCCCAAAGGAATGTCTCTATCAAATCTCTCTCCTCATGGCTCTGGTTGCTCTGCTGAAGAAAAGGCAGGAAGAGGATAAAAGCCAGAGGGAATAGAGAACACCACCAAGAGATCAAAGCCTTTGAGACACAACAGGGCTGGCACACAGTATGAACTCACAGAGAGTAAGGCCGCATGTACAGGGCCTGCACAGGTCTCCACCGGATAAAAGTCCTAGAGATGAAAGAAGTGAACTTACACACCCACCCCTAACCCAGAACCTATCTCTAACTGATTGTCACTTGCAAATTAGTTGTCTCCAAAAGAGTCTCACTGGAGAAAAAAATTTTTTTTTCTTTTTTATTGGATATTTTATTTACATTTCAGATGCTATCCCCTTTCCTCATTTCCCCCACCTAGAAACCCCCTATCCCATCCCCCTCCTCCTACTTCTATGAAGATGTGCCCCCACCCACCCACTCCCACCTCCCCACCTTCGAATTCCTCTACACTAGAGCATCCAGTCTTCACAGGACTGAGGACCTCCTTTCCCACCTATGCCCAACAGGGCCATCCTCCCCTACATATACAGCTGGAGCAATGGGTCCCTCCCTATGTGCTCCCAGGCTGGTGGTTTAGACCCTGGGAACTCTGGTTGGTTGGTATTGTTGCTCTCCTCATGGGGCCACAAACCCTTTCAGCTCCTTCAGTCTTCTCTCTCACTCCTCCATTGGGAACCCCATGATCAGTTCAATGGTTAGCTGTGAGCATCCACCTCTGTATATGTCAGGCTCTGGCAGCCCTCTAAGGAGACAGCTATATCAGGCTCCTGTCAGCATGCACTTCCTGACATCTACATCAGCATCTGCCTTTGGTGACTGCACATGGGATGTATACCCAGGTGAAATGGTCTCCATACGGCCACTCCTTCAGTTTCTGTCCCACCCTTTGTTTCCATATTTGCTCCCTTGAGTATTCTGTTACTCCTTCTAAGAAGGACTGAAGCACCCACACTTTGGTCTTCCTTTTTCATGAGCTTCATGTGGTCTGTGAGTTGTATCTTGGGTATTTGAAGCTTTTGGGCTAATATCCACTTATCAGTGAGTGCATATCATGTGTGTTCTTTTGTGATTAGGTTACCTCACTCAGGATATTTTCTAGTTCCATCCATTTGCCTAAGAATTTCATGAAGTCATTGTTTTTAATAGCTGA